CCCCAAAACCCCAAAACCCCAAAACCCCAAAACCCCAAATTCACCTTATTCTAAAAACTATTATTAAAATTACCCACTCCCAACATGAAAGACCACTTAGAAAACTACTTCATTCATCCTCTCAACCTCCAAAACCTCAAATCCAAGCCCAAAAGTACCCCTCCCCTCTCATTATCCCCAAATTCTAGAGCCCAACGTCCTTAAAAACTCCACTAAGCTTCAAAAATCCCAAAAATCGCGCTACAACAATTCAAAATCTGCGCTAGGCTATTCGGGCAACCATGTACATCTCTTCTTGATTTCTTTAGCCAATAAAATTGTTCGAAAAGTCTACAGAGGAAAGACATTCAAGAAGAAGAGTCCACAGAGTAGATAGTCAGTAAGCGGAGGAAGGATCAGAGAAGAAGTTAGACTTTTGGGGTTTAGATAGGCTAAAGGGTAGAAAGATGTACTAAAGGGTGTCAAGATAGGATTTGTGAGGATCAGATCTATGCTAGTGAAGATTTAAGGAAGGGTCTATAGTGTAGGAAATATTAAGAAGATCTTTGCAACAGCTTGATTTGTAGAAGAAATTAAACTTCTCACTTTCAATACCCAATTTTATACAGAATAATATTATCAAAGAGAACGGAGAAGTTTAGCTAGATTTCTCCAATATCGAGAGTTATAGGTTCATAATTAAAAGATCTGACTTAAAAAGTAGCATACACTAAATAAATTAGAAGTTTCCTAAATATTATCAGACTTATATCACTTCCAACAAACAAGCCCAGTAATGGGGTTTATGAGATTTTCTTTTTAGAGGGATGATACATGACCAAAGCAAAAATCCACCCAATCTTAAGACAAATAATAAAAATAGTCATTCATATTTGAAGGTAAGGAATGTTATTACATCAAAGAATGCAAGTTTGGCTCCAACAGTTGGAAATATCAAAACTCGGAAGGTTAAGAAAACGAATAAAACACACATGACTGCTAAAAGATTGGCTCCTTCAGCACTGGATGGGGAAGAAGAGTTAGATAATACCCTTCTCAAAAATTTCTACAAACATCCTAATATAAAACATCTCGAGCTAGATGAAGTGAGATCAAAGAGTAGAAAAAGAGCACCTAAAATGAAGAGTAGTGTACGTTTGCTCAAGGATTCTGGGATAACTTTTTCAGCATAGAAATAAATCAAGACCCAAACAAAGAGGGAAGAAGAATATAGCTCTCTCACAAAGCACTAAACATAAGAAAATTATGATAAGTGGAAAGCCAACTCCTGAACCTAAGAACTATGTAATAAAAGATCAATATGATTTTGTCTCAGAGTTTGAAACTAAGACTTTTGATAATTGAAGAATAATTTCAAACAATAAAAAGACAAATTCATCAATGAATTTGCAGATAAAATAACAAAACAAACTCTGGCTCTAGGAAAAGAGAGAAACCATGGAATAGAGCTATACAGAAGAGAGAAAGTCCTTATTCGTCTCAGCCGAAGGCTGATCATATCAGATCTAAAAGCTCTTACATAAAAGGGCCTAGTTCTTTCAAATCAATTATTCAAAAGTACAGAGAGCGAGGAATTAGCGGGAACAATTCAAAAGATTTAAAAATTTCTAAAAATAAACACTTCCTTTCTTCGCCAAGCAAAAAGAATGCATTTCAGGTCGAAAATATTAAGTTTAAGACGAAGAAAAGTACTTCAAAGCCAAGAAGAGTTTTAAAATAATGACTCTATTTCTTCTCAAAGCCATTCGTTAAATACCAGAAATCGATCAACTAAGAGATCAGATTTATTGAAGAAACAAGCTCACCAGAAGAAGGCTTCTGGAACGCTGATTCCTAATGAATATAGCAATAAATTTGCAAAATCTCCAACGGTTCCGAAGCACAAGAGCTTAACTAATAAGATCTCCATCTCAAGGAAATAATATAATGGATCCTAAAAACCAGTCGAGCGATACCAGTGTTTATGGAAAAAGAGAGACTTCTAAGAGCAAAGCTCAGATAGGAAAATAAGGATATACTCACTAAAGATAGGATGGCAAAGAGTTATCATCCTGGTAGTAACACAGGTCATGATATATACTCCTCAATGTTTTCAGATGGATCTGGAATTAACAGTCAGTTAAGTTCCATGATATTCCCTCAAAGACCTGGATCGAACACTTCAATGGCAGCCAATACTGATTTTATTGCTAATAATGTTGAGACAAGTCAGAACTCTTTAAGACATGCTATAATGTCCGTTCTAAAAACTGAAAAAGCTATTACTGATCCTGTGCTTTCAATACAGGAAGGAGGAACTCCTTTAGATGAGAGATTTACTAAGAGCCTACAAATTTACTCTCCTAGTTCGAAATTCAGTCATAGAGAGAGCAAACCAGCTGTAAAATCACCTTCAAAGAGAATTGTTTTGAAATACAAGACGACTCTTCATGGGCATTCAAACACTGTGAATAGTCTTGCCTTTGACACGAAATGTTATTCATACCTATTCAGTGGGTCTCATGATTATAGTATAAAAGTATGGCATTGAACTTCTTTCTCACCTAGAAATGTAATAGACCTCGACTCTGAATACTCTAGATTGGATCGGTGATATAAGACCCTAAATTTACACACAAAGAAAGTAAACTGACTCCAATACCTTCCCATTTCTTCTGTCCTGGTCTCTGCCGGGGCAGACCAAAGATTGTGTCTTGTTAATACTGAAAATACAGAGGAGTTTGATACCTTGGCTATTTTTAGAAGGAGATATGGCAATGTCAATCAAATGATCTCTATGGCATCTGGTGGATTTGAAATGGATGAGGCTAAATTGTTTACAGCCTCTCTCGACAAAAAGATCCTGTTGATAGATCTGAATAATCATGGAGATATCATTTCGGAGTTCTACAACCCTGATGGAAATATAAATTGTTTCAAAATGCAGACTTCTAACAACTTTTTGTTAATTGCTGATTGTTCTAGTAAAGTCAAACTGTGGGATGTGAAATCAGGAAAAACTGTTAACTCTTTCAATGGACCAGGAAGGAGTAAAACATGAATCGAGAATTACGATAATGACTGATTCATCACAACTTCTAATGATGGTATCTTAAGCATATGGGACTACAGAATGCCCAAAAAGCCGGTGAAATCCAGCCTAATTAAGGACAATAACCTCTCCGGATACCCAAATTCCCACTTCAACCAGCTTCTATACACCAAGGGGACTATCTTCGCTGCTACAGACCAAGGTCTTTCTCTAAGTAAGTCTCTCTTCATCCCCTGTCTCTTCCTAAACCCGACTTCTAACCTCTCCTATGTATAGTAAATCCCAGATCCTTGGAAGTACTCGAACAGAGGAGGAACCACGAAGGAAGTGTACAGGCTTTAGCCTATTGTGAACTAGATGGCACAATGTTTTCATCTAGTCATGATAAGAGCGTTGTTGTGTGGAGCCTCAGGTAATATTTTAAGAGTTTTGAAAGGAATAAAGGCTTGGGAATGGGATTTTTGGGGGGTTTAGAAGGTAGATGGGTGGAAGGGACTTTGAGAGGGTTATGGTCCGAGAGTTTGAATTTAGTGGTCATTTTGGCTGAAATGCCTGATTTAGTAGGGGGGTAATGGCTTGTTATCAATTTCTGGACCTTAAAGGGGTTTTGGGGTTTTGGGGTTTTGGGG